TATATATATATTAGTTTTCTTTATTTTTAAAAGTTACCGTTATACACAGTATATATGTGTGTGTTTAATTCAACATATTTTAAATGATATAATATATAAAATATATATATATATATATATATGTGTGTGTGTGTGTTTTAAATACTATATATTAATTATATTTTTGATTATTTGATATTTTGATTTCCTAGTTACTTATTTTTTATTAATTTATTAATTACTGAAATAGTGAGGATGTGATGAAATATAATATGTATGTAACATAGTTTTTCATTTATTTATTTATTAACAGAGTTGTCAGTCCAGTTTGTGTTGTAAATCGTTATTTTCGTTTTTCCGCATTATCAAAAGACAACCTGAAATTTTCGAGAGCAAGTGTTTCAATATGTGAAGCTGATGCTGTGACTAATCACAACATTTGGCGTATTAGTTTCTTTGTTACTGGATTTTAGCTGGTCTGAATTTGTAGTTTATTGTCGTGTGAACGCAGCCATTGTGCTTCGACTCTCATTTTGTGTCTGAATTCTCCGTCTATTGAATCCTGCTGGAGGATGGGAGTGATGTTGGGCTGGAAATGAGGTGCTGGACAATGCTGGTGTGTGTGTGTGTGTCCAGCCGTTCAATAGGGACGTGGCACCAGAGAGTGAGATTGCTACCTGTGCGCTCGCGGCGACAACTCAATTTCCCTTTTTTGGCAGCTGAATGCAGCCAATCAAAGCAGCCGTGTCGTCTGTAATGGCTCCAGACCCTCGGGGTGTTTGATTCTCTCACACACTGACCATTGTGATTCACTGAGGAACCTGCTAAAACTTCACACACACAATAACACGCATCAAACAGACATGCAGATTGAATTTAATGGAAATCAAATCTTCATCTCCGTATTGGGGTTTAAGTTTAAAACTGATTTTCAATCATCCTGTCGATGGTTTTCTTATCTGTGACACTGACGAAGATGAGGTTAACGCTGAGTATCGGCCCTCGTCCCCCGAATGTCAGAGGAGTTTCGCTGAGAGCGAAATGTGAAACGTCTCGCAGAGACTTTATCTGAGACTAAATCACTCCAGCGCTGTGTTTCTGGCTCACTCCTGGAAGAGTGAAAAACAGAAAACCAATGCTAACGTATTGTATATGGCCTACTTTTGTTTTCAGCAAGTGACTTCCAGAAATACTTTGTTTTTTTTTGGCAAATATAATTATGAAAAAAAAAACAGTATTTTAATATTGCTTATTAATTTTTATATATATATTATTTTAATAATAAATAAAATAGTCATTAATATATTATAATTTATTTTTATAATAATTATTAAATTGTATAAAAAAGTACTTGTTTATATATAAAGAATAAAGATTTACAACAATACAACAATATTTTAATATGATTTAATACTATTATTGTTTATATTTTTATTTCTTTTATAAAATAATCATGAATATATTATAATACATTTTTCTAATATTAAATTACAGTGTATTTGTATATAATATTGTAATATTATTTAATATTAATATTTGTATATTTGTTTATTTAAAGAATAAATAAAATAATCATAAATATAATTAATTATGATATAATAAATTACAAAAAAAGTTGTATGTATATATATATGTATATGTATGTGTGTATACATATACACTAGGGCTGCCCTCGACTGAAGATTTTTAAGGTCAACTAGTAGTTGTTCATTTTAAGCATTAGTCAACTATTAGTCGCACTTTTATAAATAAACCATATAAATCATAATAATGAGCCTTCAATTGCCTACATAGCCTAATAAGTGCTCAAGCGCATGCAAAAAAGGCTTGCCACAGCGCACCAGCAAATATAATTATGAATGCGTTAGGGAAAAACAGCAAGTACACAGCATGAACGTTTTAATAATTTATTGTTATTCTAGTGCTTTCTGTTTTCGGTTTAAGAGATGAAGTCGGCGACACTGACTCGTCATCTCCGCAGTATGTATGCATGTTTCATACGGATTACATAATCTGAGAATATTCGTTTTTTATTTGAATTGGTTCATTTAAAAGCTTCACTCTCTATAGATATATTTTTCATGTCTGTAATAAGGCAAGAATACACAGAGTTTCGAAGTGACGTGCTCAAGTTCACAGAGACCGAGACGGCAGAAAGCGCATCCTGTTTCCTATTATTATTAAAAAAAGTGCAGCGTTTCGTTATTATTCTGAGTGCACACGAATAAACGTAGAGTCTTTACAGATACAAAAGATGCATTACTCTTATCTGTAGGACCAAAAATGATGAAGTATTTTAAGAGCAAATGATCGCACCGGCGCCTCCATCTGTCCTGCAGCCCAAGCGCGCTAATGTTCAGCTTCCACACAAACACGTGAACTGCACACTTTTTTCTAGGTTAACATTAGATTGAGCTGCCATGTAAAGTTGCTACTACATACATATTTCAGATGATAAGCCATATTTGAGGTCGATGAATGTTAGGTGAGCATATGGATGTCCTGCCCGATGTACTATATTACCACGCAGACCAGCCGTTAACGATTTGTCCGTCACGGACTGCGTGATTTCACCACTTCGTGTGGAATTTTCTTTTCTGCGACTAATGAAATTTTGGTCGACCAAGCCTCTTCTTGTCGACTAACGGTTAGTCGACTATTAGGGGGCAGCTCTAATATATACATATATAAAGAAACATTTTATACTTTTATATCTAAATTATTTTATATTGTATTACGGTATATAACATTTAATATTTCAAGTGTCTATCGTTTAGTTTCTTAGAAAAAAAAAATCATGTAGTAATGCAGAAATTATTCACTTCAACTTAAACATCTACCAGTTTGATTAAAAATGAGTCAAAAGTGAAACTGTTTTTAAAACTAGTTTCAGTGACATTACTGCCCTGTAGTTGGTCATAAACTGCAGGAATATTGCTCATGTTATTCTGAACACTGTAGTCTCGCTCTTTCTCCTCCGCTCTCGCTCCTCTCTTCTCTAATTTCCCTCGATTGACAGAAAAGAACCGCAGATAGAAGCTGCTCGGGCCGGTCAATAGCTATTCGAGCTGACGGAAACTTGATCTGATGGTCACATATCTCTCTCTCTCTCTCTCTCTCTCTATCTTGTTATAGCTCTCTCTCGCTCTGGTTTTCTTTGTGTGTTTGGTCAGAGAGGTAGATTAACAGACATTTTATGCCGAGTTGAAGCAGAGCCGGGCAGTTATCAGTGCCAGCCGCGCGGCTCCAGCCTGCTGTCCCCAAAATAAATAAAGAAAGAGTTGGCTTACTGCGAGATCATTAGCTCACTGCAAATGGATTTCTCTGGAAGCCAATGGAGTCGCTTTGAGGAGAAACACCTACTCAAATGTTCTCCTATTGATCCGGCCTCTTAAGCACTCATCTTCGCCTCACAACTCGCGTTACTGATGGGCTGTTTGGGATCGCGGCTATTTATAGCGACGTCTGAATGATTTGGATGCGTGTCGGCCGGTTTTCATCCGGCCCGTTCAGATGCCCTGAGCTACAGCACTTAGGAGTGACACCAGATGGATGGCAGTCGATTTGTTT